GCCTCCTCACTGGGCCTCTGATGGGCCTTTAGGGTGAGGGTCTGAAACTCATTTTCATGTACATGGAAAGATCCCTTCCAACTCCATCAGAGAGGCTGGCTTCGCAGCGGGGGGCCTTCTGGACTCTGCCCACAGACCTGCCCTGGAAAACCTCCTCGGGGAGCAGAAGCAGCCGGGAGCTGGCCTGTGGAGTTACCATGGCAGTGGGACCTGGGTGTTCACACTTTTGAGAGTGGTCACCTCCATTCTGGGCCCTGTCCTGGCTGACCGTTGCACAGGGGAGGCCATCTGAGCTGGTTCTCCACAGAGGCTGAGTTCAGGAGGCCTGTGGCATAGGATGTGGCTGTGTGTGATACCGGACCCCAGTGCCCCACTCACACTGGGCCTTCAGAGGAATTAGGCCGGTGGCCATCAGAGCTAAAGTAGACTGTGCTTGGCGAGGGGCATACTCAGTGGTAGAGCAGAGGCCCTGGGTTCAGTACCCCAAATCAGACCTTATTCAGGGAGCCCCCCTCAGTACCTGCCAGGAACAGCCCCTGGTCCCTACATGTGGAAGACACAGATGGGGAATGTTAAAGCAGCTTCCAGTGCTGTCCTATGTGGACATGTGCTGTCACTTGTCAAGGGGGCCCAGGCTGTGGTGGTAGGAATGAAAAGGCCCAGGCTTGGGCTGCCCCTGCCTTGTGTGATGGGTGTGACCAGAATCTCCTCCCTGCACCTGCTGTTCCTTTGTGTGTTGTGACACCTACCTTCTCAGCCACTCTCCTGCCCCATTAGCACTGCAGTCTACCCCTGGGTCCCAGTGGTCCTTCTCCCAGATGAACATCCCATGTGCCATGACTCTCTGGCTCGCCTGCACCCACAGGGCCCTGGCCTGTGCTCTACCCTCTGGATCCACTCTCTGATGGTCTCAATGTGTTATTCTGGCTTCTCCTAAGGCAGCCAGAGAGCCCTCTGAAAATGAAAGTCTGATTTATCACTTTGCTTGCTGCTTAAAGACCCTATAGTAGCCTTCCATTTTATGTAGAAGAAAAAAATGGCCAACTCTTGCCATTGTTTGCCAGGCTCTGTGGGACTCCTGTTTTGCCTGCTCCTGTGCTCTGCTTCTTCACCTGGGGCTCCAGACAACTGGCTGCCAGTCCCTCTGGCCTGTGCTGCTGTTCCCTCCACAGGCCTTGCCTATGCCCTCCACTGTCAGGAGATACCTGCTTCCCATGTCTGTCCCCCCCCCCCGCAGGAGCCCCCCCCCCCCCCCCCCCGGCCCAGTGGAAACAAGTGCATCCATTCCTCTTGTTGCTGTGAGCCCTGAACCCAGGTCTGCTCTTCCACAGGGCTTGGCCCAGCTGTCAGATTGCTCTTGTGTTGCCCTTCTACTAGGTTCTCATGAGTTCTTTTGTTCTATAGGCATTTAGCAGTGAGCAAGTCCAAGGCACATGGTGGCCCTTGAGCAAATGTCTGCTGAATAATCCCAGGGGGTGAATGAGAGTCACCCAGTTTTTCTAGCCTCTGTTTCTACATTTGTAGAATGGAGATGATGACTGTCTGGGCAGCCTCACGAGCCTCTGTGAGAGTGCATGTTTGCAGTTTGGAAAAGTGCTGTGGAACACAGTGCACAAATGTAAATATAAGGTGTGATATTTTTGCTGCTCATTCTGACAAGGCCATACCCTTTCCTCCCCCCAGTTAATGAAGGAAGGAGTCCTTCTTAAGCTAAAAGAGTAGGGGCAGTCCCACACTCCTTTTACTCTTTGTTCTCAGACTGTGCACAGCACAGAGGGGAGAGGCCTGTGGCCCAAGGACACATGTGATATTCAACCCAGGGAGGTGCTTAAAAGTGCTTCATCATGTACCTGTCTACCCATTCCATGCCGACAGCCACCACCCCTTTACCATCCATCCATCGTCCATCCATCCGTCCATCCATCCATCCATCCGTCCATCGTCCATCTATCCGTCCGTCCATCCGTCCGTCCATCCATCCATCCATCCATCCATGCATCCATCCATCCATCCATGCCTTCATCCATCAGACAGACAGACATTCATTGACTTCTTAGGTGCCAGACTCATTTCAAGCACTGGGATATAGAAGTGAATAAAACAGACGATATCTCTCAACTCCTGGAGCTTAGGTTTAAGCAGGAGAAAAAGACACCAAACAGACAAAAAATTAAATAAACATATAAATTAGGAAGAAACACACACTAAAGACAGTGGAGCCAGCTGAGGGAGGTCACCACAGAGCTGGAGGCATCTGGTGGAGGCCGTGGTGAGGCTGTGGTCTGGGGAGCATCTGGGTGTAGTGACCTGAGCCAGCGTCTGTCTCGAGAAGAGCATCTAGGTGAGGGAGAGCAGGTACACAGGCCCCCAGGGGGGAGATGATGCATGTGCAGAACAGCCAGGAGGCCATCGTGGCTGGAGAGGAGTCCGAAAGGTGACATGGCATTTATTCCAGTATGATGGGAACCCCTGGAGAGCATTCTCGCAGAGGAGAGAAGTGCCCTGACTCCTGGTTCAGACACACTCAGCTTGCCATGTGGCAGTGCACTGGGGGGCAAGAGTGGACATGGAGAAGCTGTTTTGTTTTGTTTTTTCTCAAAAAGTTTATTCTGGAAGAACCAAATACTATTCCCCATCTTCACCACTTTTGAGCACATAGCTCGTGGATATTAAATGCATCCACAGTGGTCGACAGCCACCACCGGCCTCCATCTGCATAACTGCTTTTTTTTTTTTTTTTTTAATGAAACGGAGTCTTAGCTTTGAGGTTTTTGCAACCCCACAGGGATAGGAGAGACAGTGGCAGCAGAGATGCTGACAGACAGTGGGATTTGGGGCACATTTTGAAGACAGAGCCAACAGGTGAGGGAGAAAGGGCATGTAGGAGGATGCGGTGCTCTGGACAACCAAGTCATGAGACTTTTCTTTTGTGAGGGAGATCATTATGGAACAGCTGAGAGGCCTTCAGGGAGGAGGGTTCATCCGGCTTAAAAAGTTGTATTACTTCAGAGCATAGGATTAGAGCTGTGGCTGGACCTTTGGGGGACACTGCAGGTGGAGGCTGACCCTGCAGACTCTTGAACCAGACTGCCTGCCTGTCCCTGTTGGAGCATGACCTGGGAAGGAGAACCTCTTCCCTGTATAGCTCATGAGACCCATTCCACAGGCTTCTGGTGAGGACTGAGTTAATTCTTGCAGAGTGTGTCAAAGCATTCCTGGCCCAGAGTGTCTTCACGACATGGTGGCTGTCACCTGGAAGTGAAGGCGTGCTAATGGATCTTGTCTCAGAGTAACCTCCAGGACTGGATGCTTTTGAAAATAGGATGGACCACTTCTTAAACCCCCCCCCAATTCCCCTCATTGGACAGACTCTTCACCTCTCAGAGCTGCACTGCTGGCCAACGACCCCGCTTTGTGACCTCCAGACCCTCTGGCTCTCCTTGCACTCCTTAGCTCCCTCTGTGATGTCTTGCTCTTCATCCTTTTTACTCTGAGAAAATTCTTCTTTGCCCTTTTACAGCCTCTGTTGACATTTAAAACTCCTTTCCTTTGTTTTGACCTTATTGAATAGAGAGAATAATTTCTTGGAATTCTCTGCATAATTAGTTCATGTACTTACAGATTCTGATCAAGTTTCTCCTCAACCTTTACGTTGAGAGATCTTGCATCTTTTGACATAGAAAATATTCCAAGAAGTGCTCAGGAGGGTGGTGCAAAATGCAAACGCTTCCTTTGCTCTTGCTGTTTCTGCAAATGTGAGCCCCTTGTCACCAGGCTTCTGCCAGAGTACCTTGCTTTTCAGAATGAATGAAATCACTTGAAACTCCTGTGCTGTGGGTGCTAGAAACCCCACGGCCTTCTCAGCTCTCTGAGTCTTGTAAAGCTGTTGGGGTGAGGGTAATATCATGGCAGAGCTCTTCAGTTCATTGCTAGTTCCAGGTTCATGTCTGCAGTGAATGAGACTGGTTTGTTAATCACACTGGCCTTCCTCTTGTCTGTGACACAGTGGCTTACCTACAGAACAAAAACCTCTGATCCCCTTGCTCTCCTAAATATTCCTGCCATGATAATGGTTGTGGAAAAGATGTTTTCTGAAGTAATGAGGTAATAGAGTACATACAGAGCTGACATGAAGGAGGAGGTGGGTGAGGTGTTACTCTCCATTACCATGCAACAGTTGCTTAAAATCAGTTCTGGCTTCCAGTAATAAGACAATAGATCTACAGACTAACCCTGCCATGGTTATTAGTACTCATGGCTAATAATCACAAACTCTGTGTCACACCTATGACAACACTTGGAGGTACTGGATAACAACAAAAAGCAGGCAGAAACCAGACAAAGTTTCTTTTAGAAGAAGGAAAGGGCTCTGTGTGAGTTTCCTACTTTTATATTTTTCTGCCTGAGCAATGTTACTGGCCTGAGGACAGCACCTGGGTGCTTGGGTGACCACAGCACTTGTAAAGTGAGGATAGAAATATGAGAAAGAAAAAGTCAGAGAGGTAGACCACAGATTCTTTGTATAGACTCTATCCAAATTTCTGGATGGCTCCCGAACCCATGTATGGGACAGACTATGCAGCTCAACTAAGGCTGAGAGATTTGAATAGAAATTTTTACTGCTGTGTATTACGGGGAGGAGGAAGAATGGAGTTTGAAATTTGAGTAGAGGTGTTAACTGCTTTGTTTTTTTAAATCAGTATGTTTCAAAAGAACATAAAAGAATCCAGAGTTAATACAACAAACCTTTATAATGTCCAGTATTCTATCCAAAATTATTATATAAAGCAAAAACAGAAAAGGGGATTCATATTTAAGAAAAAGGCTGCCTCGGGTGGTGATGTACATCTGTAATCTCAGCTAGTTTGGAGGCTGAGGCAGGAGGGTCACAAGTTTGAGGTTAGCCTCAGCAACTTAGGAAGACCCTGTCTCAAAATAAAATTTAAAAAGAACTGGGGATATAGCTCAGTGGTGGAGCACATGCCTAGCATGTGCGAAACCCCTGGTTAATCCTCAGTAACACACACACATAGGAGAGGTGGGGAGGGAGAGGGAATGCAGTTTTGCTCCCACAATGATGCAGATGTTGAAATTAGCAGACAAGTGTTCTAAAACAGCCATCGTAGATGTGCTCCGGGGCATATAGGAAACTTTCATCACAACAAGTGAAAATAGAGGAAACCTCAGTAGAGGAATAGAAAGTGTAAGAAAAATCCTAGAACTGAAAAATACCATATCTGAAACTAAGAATGTAGCACTTGGATTACATAACAGAATGGAAATGACAGAAAAAAAGAGTCCGTGAACTTGGAGATAAATCAGTACAGACTATTCAACCTGACAACAGAAAAAAGGAAAAGATATTCAGGGACTTGTGGACATTATTGGAAGATCTGTTTAATATATAAGTAATTGGAGTTCCAGAAGCTAAGAGAGAATGGGGAAGAAAAAGTATTTTTAATAAATAACATCAAAAAAGCTCTCAAATTTTGTAATAAACACACACACACACACACACAGACACACAGATGTAAAAAAACACCATGCAAACATCAAACAGTATAAATGTAAAGAAAAGCACACCCAGGCACATCATAGCCAGACCTCTGGAAATAGAAGATGAAGAGAAAATCTTGAAATCAGAGAAAAATGGATGTCATATGGAGGAAAATAACATGAACATCACCGACGTCTCATCAGAAATTATGAGGTCTAGAGGCGATGGAACGGTACCCTGATGTGCTGATTGAGCACAAAAACATGTCAAGCTGTGATTCTATCTCCTCCCGAGAACACAAATGAAATGCAGACGTTGTGGATAAATGAAAATGAATGAGAATTCATTGCCAGTAGAGTTGTATCACAGAAAGGCTGAAGGACGTTCTTCAAGGGAAGGAACAAGATGCCAGATAAGAGCTCAGACCTTCAACCAGGAATGAAGAGCACTGGAAATGGTAAGTGTGTGGGAAAATAGAAAAGATTATTTTTTTCACCTTAAAAAGAATGCATCTACTATTTAAAGCAAAAAAAAAAAAAGCTGCATTTTGTGGTTTGATATGTCCAGTGACTATAAAGTATGGAAGCTGGTAAAAGGACATGTAGAGTTTTTTTTTTTTTTTTAATTTCCTCTCAGGTTTTGAAAGTCTATTTGTAGTTTCCTTTTAATAATTCCCTTTTTTCTTAGGGAAAAAAAAAAAAAAAACAACTTGCCTTCATTTTAAGTCATTCTTGTATTATTGGTGTTGACTTACATTCATACACACCGAAGTACATTTATATAGCTATAAGTGTCATTATTCAGTTTTCCACTTAATGGAGTTAGGTTAGATGCCAGCTTTTTAATGTGAATTGGTACAATATCAACTGTGAGCAGATTATAAAATGTTAAGAATGTATGTTTTAATCCGTAGAGCAACCATTAAAAAAATAATGTAAACAAAAAAAAGCCAATAGATAAAATAGAATGGTGAAAATATTCAGTTATTCCAAAAGAGAGGAGGAAAAGAGGAATAAAAAAAGAGGTTAAGTAAGGAAATAAATAAGCTGGGTGTGGTGGTGTGTGCCTGTAATCCTAGAAGCTCTGGAGGCTGAGGCAGGAGGATTGAGAGTTCAAAGCCAACCTCAGCAACAGTGAGGGGCTAAGCAACTCAGTGGGACCCTGTCTCTAAATAAAATATAAAATAGGGCTGGGGATGGGGCTCAGTGGTTGAGTGCCCCTGAGTTCAATCTCTAGCACCACCCCCCCCCAAAAAAAAAGGAAATAAATAGCAAAACGATAGCTGTAAATCTGATCAAGTCAACAATTACTTGAAAAGTGGATGGAAAGAGATGTCAGGTAGATTCAGAAGCACAGGCAGCCACGTGCTGCTGAGAAGGTTCTGATAGGGTAAAAGCAAATTGGTGGGACAAAGAACATCCAAATGGCCAGCACAAGAAGTCTGGAAGGACTGTCAAACTGCTGGGTAATGTGGACCTCAGGATGGCAGAGGCAGATGTTCCCTCAGTGAAGGCATCGAGAGGATCACTGTTTTGGAAGTCAGCACACTTGTATACATACCTGGTAGCAGTGTCCAAACGCTTGGCAGAAATCTGTCACAGAATTAAAGTCAAAACAAGCTGGGTATGATGGTGCACACCTGTAGTCCTAGTGGCTCGGGAGGCTGAGGCAGGAGGATTGACAGTTCAAAACCAGCCTCAGCAATTTAGTAAGGCCTTAAGCAACTCAGCGAGACCATGTCTCAAAAAAAGGGCTGAGGGGCTGGGGTTGTGGCTCAGTGGTGGAGCACTTGCCTAGCACTTGTGAGGCACTGGGTTTGACCCTTGGCACTGCATAAAAATAAGCTAACAAGATAAAGGCATTGTGTCCATCTACAACAAATCAATCAATCAATCAAAGGGCTGGGGATGTGGCTCAGTTCTCCTGGGTTCAATCCCTGGTATCCCCCCCCCACACACAAAGCAAAACAAAACTAAACAAAGTAAGAATCCTTCACATAGTTGAAGATTTTAATACCCTTCTCTAAGTAGTAGATGGATGAACAGCTAGACAAGCTGGGAGGGGTAGACCAGAGTAGTGTGTGGACTACACATGTAGAACAGACATACTCACAAGCTCGTCAGCTTTGAATGCTGCTTTGCTAAGGAGACTATGAAACAAGTCTCAGGATGTTTAAAAGGAATCAAGTAAAAAATAAGATACTGAACAAAAAGAAAAACTCTGGATAGTAATTAAATCACACATTTCTAAATCACTTATATAACTTTTGGTTAGTTAAGATGGAGTAATAAGGACAGGATATTTTTTCCAGTCTTTTTTATTTTTAATTATTATTATTATTATTATTTTTTGGTACTAGGGAATGGAACCCAGGGCCTTGCACACCTAGGCGAGCAATTTACCAATAAGCTATATACCCTTACCTTTTAAAATTTTTATTTTGAAACATCATCTTCCTAGGTTCCTCGGGCTGACCTGACCGTGGGATCAATGCCCTGAAGGATCACAGAGGTTACTACTATGCTTGCAGTTATGCTCCAACGCAAACATCTAAAAAGGTGGAAAGACTGGAGCAGCTTGTGTGTGTGTGTGTGTGCTCCTCAAGGCAGGACGAGAACTGCCCGGAAGGAACAGGTAGAACAATCCTGGATCTCATAACTCTAAGCAAAGTTCACTTTCCCCTAAGCCAGAGTGGCAGATCCTCACAGTCCACAAGGGAGTGGACTCAGATGGGATAAAATGGCCCTAAACTAAATGCTGGTCTGATACCTGACAAGAAGCATATGTTTCCAGTCAATTTAATTATGTCCCGGAACAAACTGAAAGAGTGTTTATTTATAGGAGTATAGAAATTTAAAGCATCCAGTAAAGTAAAATTCACCATGTCTGGCTTCCAAATAAAGATGTAAAGAAAATGCAAAGAAGTAGAATAACATGAAGCAGGAGGGGGTGGGGGTGGGGGGGAGGGGAGAGAGAGAGAAAGAAAAATCAGCAGGTCCAGACCCAGAAAGGGCATAGAGGTGTAATTAGTAAACAAGCACATTAAACCAACTATTTTAAAGATACTGTAGATAAAACAATGGACATGTTAAGAAGAGACATGGAGATAGTCAACCTGAACTTCATGAGACTGAAAAAAGTCTTTAATGAAAAATACGACACATGAGGTAAAACTCAGATAAAACTGTAAAACAAAACATTTGCAAACTTGAAGATGAAGAAACTATCCAAAATGAAATTCAGAGAGCAAAAGCTCGAACAGAGAATCTGTGAGTTGTGGGACAAGTTCATTTTCACCCAAAACACATGAGATGGGAGTCCTCAGCAGAATAGGTGGTTACAGAAATAATATCTGAAAGTTTTCTATTTGATGAAAATCACAGACCCAGGAGCTTTAGTGAACCCCTGGTCCAAGAAACATGAAGAAAGCTCACGAAAGGATATCAGAATGGAATTTCTTATCATCAGTGATAAAGGGGGGGATCTTAAAAGTGGCAGGAGCAGGGTGGAAAGTATTACATATAGAGGAGCAAAGACAAGAACGACCCTAAACTTTTCATCGGAAAGAATGCCAGAAGAGACAGAGGAACTCAATTTTAAAGTACTGGAAGGAAAACCAAAACCAAAAACTGCCATCAACCTAGAATTTAATATCCAGTGAAATATTCTTTAAAAGGAGAGGTGGAATACTTTCCCAGACACGTAAAAGCTGAAGTGATTCATCATCAGCATTACAAGCAACTTGCATTACAAGAAATATTAATAAAGGGAGTCCTTGAGGCAGAAGGAAAACGATACCAGGTAGAAATCTGTATGTACGCAGAGCCGTGGTGACATGAAATGCTAAATTATGTGGGTAAATGCAAAATACTCTTTGTTCTTCTTTAAAAATCACTTTCAATGATGATTGACTGTTAAAATAAAAACAATAATTTATTGCGCAGTTTATAACATGTGGAGATGTAAAAGATACGATGAAAGCACAGGGGCTGGGATGGGGGATGATGTGTTTCATGGCTCTTGTGTATAAGGAAAGTGGTGATGTTCCTCGGGAGGAGACTGGGATATGTGGAAGATGGATGCTGCGAACCTTAAGGCAACTGGTAATTAGACAAAGACAGAAAGACTTATGTTTGTAAGTCTAGCAACGGGAAGTGAAGTAACAAAAGATCAAAAAAAAAAAAAAAGGAATAAAAAACAGATTGGATAATTTTGAAAGCAAATAGTAAGATTTGAGCCCAACCATATCAATAATGGATGAAAAGATCTAAACACTTATTTAAAAGACAAAGATCATGAGGTCAGATGAAAAGGCAGTACACAATTTTACAAATCCTATAATGAACCCACTTGAATTGGAAAGACAAAAAGGTTAAATGGAAAAGGATGGAAAAAGATCACCTAAACTTTTGATAAAAGGAAGCTGGATGACTAGATAAATGTCAGAGTTGGGGCATGGGCTGTGGCTCAGTGGCAGAGCATTTGCCTAGCCTGTGTGAGGCACTGGTTTCCATCCTGAGCACTACATAAAAATAAATAAAATAAAGGCATTCTGTCCATCTACAACTAAAAAAAAAATTTTAAAAATGTCAGACAAAGCAAATTTTCAGAACAAAGACTATTTTCAGGGGCACAAAGAGGAGAGTCTTCTTACGACAACAGAGGGGGCCGTCTACCACAGGACGGGTGTCAGGTGCCTGGCACTGGGAACACAGAGAATATGTGCTTAAGCGTTTATACCCATGCTGAATGAGAGCTGTGAACTATATGAAGAAAAAATGACAGAACACAATGGAGAAATAGTAAAATCCACATGTATTGTTGGAGAGCTCAGCATCCCTTTCTCAATAACCAATAGATCAAGTAGATAGAAAATCAGTGAAGACAGAGAAGCGCAGAACAGCGCTGTCACCCAGTTTAGCCTGACTGGCATTCGAGGGGCCCTGCACAATGGCAACAGAACACACATTCTCTCAAGTGCATGTGGAGTATCCACCAAGACAGGCCTTAAAAAAGTCTGTCAGCAAATTCAAAAGGATTGGAATAAACCAAAGCATATTCTTAACTAAGAAGGGATTAGATTAAAAACCAGCAATGAAGATATCAGAAAAATCCCCAAATGTTTGGAAACTAAACAACACACAAAATCTTTTTTTCTTTTTATTGGTTGTTTTTAGTTTTACATGACAGTAGAATCTATTTTGATGTGTTTATACAAACATGGAATATATCTTTTTTAAAAAATATTTTTAGTTATACATGGACATAATATCTTTATTTTGTTTGTGTATTTTTTATGTAGTGCTGAGGCTCGAACCCAGTACCTCACATGTGCGAGGCAAGTGCTCTGCCACTGAGCCACAACCCCAGCCCAGGAATATATCTTATTCTTATTAGGATCCCAGCCTTGTGGATGTACATGATGTGGAGATTCACTGTGGTGTATTCATGTATGTTCATAGGAAAGTTAGGTCAGATTTACTCCACTGTCTTTCCTGTTTCTATCTCTCCTCCCTTCCCTTCCCTTCATTCCCCTCTGTCTAATACACGGAATTCTATTCTTACCCTCCTCCCCCTGTCGTAGGTCAGCATCCACATATCAGAGAGAACATTTGACTTTTGGTTTTTTGGGGATTGGCTTATTTCACTTAGCCTGAAAGCCTCCAGGTTCATCCATTTACCAGCAAAAGTCATAAAGTCATTCTTCTTTATGGCTGAGTAATATTCCATTTTATACATATATATCTCCCACAATTTCTTTATCCATTCATCTGTTGATGGGCATCTAGCTATTGTGAATTAAGCTGCTATAAACATTGATGTGGCTGTGTCACTGTAGTATGCTGATTTTAACTCCTTTGATATATACCAAGGAATAGGATAGCTGGTTCAAATGGTGGTTCCATTCTTGTTTTTTTTGAAAGGGATCTCCAAACTGCTTTCCAGACTCCTTGCACTAATTTACAGCCCACCAACAATGTATGAGATTACCCTTTTCCCCACATCCTCAACAAACATTTATTATTACTTGTATTCTTGATGTTTGCCATTCTGGTGGAGTGAAATGGTGCTGGGAAAACTGGAAATACACATGTAGTAGAATGAAATTTAACCCTATCTCTCACCCTGCACAAAACTCAACTGAACGTGGATCAAGGACCTAGGCATTAGACCAGAGACCCTGCACATTCTAGACCAAAATGTAGGCCCAACACTCTAACATGTCAGCTTAGGAACTGACTTCCTTAATAAGACTCCTACAGTGCAAGAAGTAGAAACCAAGAATCAATAAATGGTATGGCATCAAAGTAAAAAGCTTCTTTGGAAACAAGGAGATGAAGAGAGAGTCTACAGAATGGGAGAAAATCTTTGCCACCTGCACCTCAGATAAAGCATTAATCTGCAGGATACACAAAGAACTCAAAAAGCTTAACACCAAAACAAAACAAAACAACACCCTCCCCCACAAATAACTCAGTCAATAAATGGGTAAGGATCTGAACAGATACTTTTCAAAAGAAGAAATACAAATGGTCAACAAATATATGAAGAAAAAAAAAGAGTTTAACATCTGTAGTAATTAGAGAAATGTAAATTAGAATAACGCTCTTTTTTGTTTGTTTGTTTTGCAGTATTGGGAATCGAAACAGGAATGGTCTATAATTGAGCTGTGTCTCTAGCCCTTTTTATTTATTATTTTGAGGCAGAGTCTTGCTAAGTTGCCCAGGCTGGCTTTGAACCTGCCATCTTCCTGCCTAAGCCTCCTGAGTGTCTGGGATTACAGGTGTGTGCCACTGCACCCAGCTAAACAACACACATTCCATAGGTCAAGGTAGAAAAACCGATGGGGATATTAGAAAATGTTTTGAAATCAATGAAAACAAAAACACAGTATATAAAAAATTGTAGGATATATTTAAAATAGTTCTCAGATCATAATTTATATCATCAAATGCTTTATATTAGTAGAGGAGACATTTTCAATTCAGTGATCTAAGTTTCCACCTAACCAGAAAAATCAGAGCAAATTCAACTCAAATAAGCAAAATCAAGGAAACAAAGATAAGATCAGAAATAATTGAAATAGAAAACAGAAAATTAGTAGAGAAAAATCAGTGAATCAAAAAAGTGGTTCTTTCAGACTAATGAGAGATTAAAACTAACTTTAGCTGGGTTCAGAATAAAAGCAGGAGGGTTGAGATTATCCATATCAGGAGTGATGAAAGGACTTGCTCACAGATCCTGCAGATGTTGAATGATACTAAGGTGGTACATGATCAGCTTTATGCCAGTGAATTCCACAAATTAGGTGACGTGAATAAGTCCCCTGAAAGACCCAAATAATAAAAGCCCACTCAGGAAGAAAAAGGCATTCCAGAAAGCCTCATTTATTTAAAAAAAAAAAATTGAATTTGTGGTTAGAAATCTTCCTGGGGTGCAAACTATGGGGCCAAATGCCTTGACTCATGAATTCTCCCAAACGTTTAAGAAGAAATAATACCAACTTGTTATTGGTTGAATTGTGCCCTACCCCCAGATTTGTATTTTGAAGTCTTCACCCCCAGTAGTTCAGATTGTAGCCTTATTTGGAGATAGGGCAATTACAGAGGCAATCCAATCACAAGGAGGTCACAGTAGGTCCTAATCCTACTTGACTGGGGGAGATCTGGAGAGAGACATTCAGAAGGCAAATGGCACACAGACTTGAAGACAGCCCCAGACATGTCAAAGAGAAGGCCTGGACCCGGTCCTCCCTCACAGCCCTCAGAAGAGACCAACCCTGCCAGTACTTGCATTGCAGAGTTCTAACTTTCAGAACTGGCAGAGGATCACTTTCTGTTACTCAGGCCACCCAGTTGGTGCTTTGTTACAGCAGCACTAGCAGGTACAGACTTCTACACAAACCTTCCAGACTATGAAGGAGAGGAAACACGTCCAGTTCACTTTATGAGGACATCATTACTCTGATACCAAACCAAGAAAAACAGATAAGGGAAAGCCACAGACCAGTATCTCTCATGAACTCAGATGCTGAATTTTTAAGTAAAATATGAGTGAATCATTTCAACTCTAGGTCCTTAAAATATTGAGACTGAGTAGGATTTGTCCCAGGAATGTAAGCTTGGTTCAACATTTGATGATCAATCAGTGTGACTCAACATTAATGACTGAACTATAATATTAATGATTAACTAGAAAAGAAAAATGATATGATCATTTCAGTAGGTGCATTTTGACAGTAGCCAGTGTTCATTCCTGATAAAAGTCGTTTTCGCAAACTAGAGCCAGGACTTCCTTGAGCTGGTAAGAGGCATTGAGGTGAGCGGCACTGGTGGGCACACGTCATTGGCGCGGCTGGAGAGAGAGCCAGCGAATCAGGAGAGCAGAAGGCATACAGTTCCCCAGAGAGGAGGTGAGGCTGTTTGCAGATGACACTATAGGCTGTGTTGAAAGTTCCCTTGGATCTATAAAACAGCTTCCAGAACTAAGATGGGAGTGTTCAGTAAGGCTGCAGAGTTCAAGGTCAGCATACAAAAATTTATTGAATTTCTACACACTGGAAAAAAATCTGAAATTACAATGAAAAAACCCATTATCAGTGTCATCAAAGTATGAGATCAGGGCTGGGGTTGTAGCTCAGTGGTAGAGCGCTTGCCTAGCATACAATCCTCAGCACCACATAAATATAAATAAATAAAAATATTGTGTTAATCTATAACTAAAAAAATTTTTTTAAATGATATTACTCAGGATACATTTGACAAAAGACGTATAAGTTTTTTTCACTTTCAAACTGTACACTCTAAGAGAAATCAAAGAAGACCTAAGTAAGCAGAGATCTCGGTCCTCTTCCTGGATTGGGATATTCAGCATAGTTGAGGTCTCCCCAGCCGCTCTGTAGATCAAGGCAGTTTCAGCCCTTGAACGCACATGGTGGATCCCCACGCATTGCTGGCAGTTGGGCTGATGATCCTGGCTCTTGGGTGAATCTTGGGCACTGGATGCATGGGCTTGTGCTCAGCTGTACAAGTTTGGAGTGGTCTCTAGATCATTTTCTGGAGCATCAAGAGCCTGGGATGAACAAGGAGGGTTCCTGAGTCAGGAGATGCAGGGTGTGGCTCCCTGGGGAGCAAGAAGCTTGACAACCATTATCTCCAGGTGGTGGAGTTGGGGATAGCTCTTATTTTCTTCTTTGTGTTTTTCTGTTTTGGGCAGATATTTTTTTGCAGAGCACACTTATTTCTAGTATAACCAGAGAAACAGTTCTGATGTGAATTCCTACAGGATTTTGCTTCCTGCACTTCTGTGTAGTCTGAATATTTGTAAAATATTCAGAGGTTGCATTTCTCATATACTCAAAAACAAAAGTCTGGCAGCAGGAAGAATGCTACCTGAGGTGAAAGCTGTTGGCCTTGTTCCAACCCTGGGAGACCACGAGAGAGTCCTGGTGCACTGTTTCTGGTAACCAGGACAAAGGAACAGGGGCACGTTGGGGCTGTGCAAGTGAGTGCACCCTGTTTTGCTGGTCACATCTTCTCAGATCTGTCTCCTGGTTGGACATGTAGACCGATGACCTATTTCCATCCTTCTGCACAGGCAGTCTGGGATCTCCAGGTATTTCATTGAGAAAATGCAGACACTTCAGGCTGCCGCAGTGCTTGGGAATTAATCTTTAAAGCCTGACTGTGAGCATTAAATTCAATTAGGGAGAGCGACTGGCAGAGATTATTCTCTCCCTTTCCTGAGTAGTTTGGAGAGGTAGCTGACTGGTCCGCGCTGATTCTGGTGTTCTTGTCGGTACCAGCTGGAAGAACCAGCAGGTGCTGTTCACCTGTGGGCGTCATCACCCAGTGTCCAGCTTGAGCCCAGTACGGGTGCTTCAGGAAGCCCTGGCATGAGTTCCAGGGTGCCGGGCTGCGCTTTGGCCTTGGTGTCACAGAGCCTGTGTTTTCTGCTCCATATGTCTTTCTTGACAGCCCCCATCCTTACCCTGTTCTCTGCTCCTCCTGTTCCCGCTCTTCCTTCCTCTCTTCTCCTCTGGCTCCTCCTCTGCATCATCTTCTTCTCCTCCTTCCTTCCCATACCCCTTCCCGTTTCTTCTCTGTGTCCTCCTCTTTCCTCTATTGCTTCTTTTTCTTCTCCTACCCTCCCTCCTCACTATCTTAACATCTGTATTTTAAATTAGGACATGCTTATAAGAATATATTATACTCAGAAGCATAGAAAGTAACCAAACAGACACTTGTGAATGCAGCTGAGAACATGAAATCCAGAGGTCTGTCCCGAGCTTTGATGGACCACCAGCTGTTTGAGCCTTTGGTGAATCTCTTCTCAAGACTCCCCCTTCTTATGGCTTCCAGGGAGCCACTCTCTCTTTTTCTCCCACCTCACTGGCCTCTTCTACACAGACTCCTTTTCTCGATGTCCTTCTCCTCCTCAACTCCCATCCTGTGAACACTGGGGCCCTAGGTTGAGGTCAGGGCCTCCTTTCTGCTCTGTGTGCATGTATTCCCTGGAGAGCACAGCCAGCTCATGACGGTGACTTGCATAGCTCTGTGTCCATCCTGGACCTCTCTTCTGATTATCTTATCATGTGTTTGACTCCCTGCCTCTGGGTTGAGAGTGGAGCTGCTGGCCATCTTTACCCTAGCTTGCTCTTCCTGTAGGCTCACCCACTCCGTGACTCCTTTCCTTTTGATGCTCAAGCCCCAACTTAGGAGTTGTCCTAGATTATTCTCTAGACTTCACATTCCACCTCCAGTCCAAGGGTTTCCTGTTTTCCACCTTCCAAGGTGGGCTGCTTCTCCACTCCTCATGTCCATGTCCTTCTCCTATCTGCCCTGGATTCTTGCAGGAGCCTCCTGTGGTCCCCTGCCTCTCCCCTCCCTGCATGGCAGCCAGAGGGTCCTGTTAGAGTGATGCCAGCCCACTCCCCATCTTCTACCTGTGCACCCTGAATGCTCTGGCTCCTTGTGATTTTCTACCCTCATCTCTTGCTGTCCCCATCCTGTTCACTCTCTAGATACACTGACCTTGCTGTTGCTTAGTCATTTTAGACACACTAATTGTCCATGCCCAGCAATTTCTGCACAGCACTCTTTTTCACCCCTCAGGTCCTCCCAGAGGGGTGCACCTATCCATCATGGTGGCCATTTCAGCCTCTTTCCCGACCTTAACATCTCCTTTCCTGCTTATTTTTGAAAATTTCAGTCTTTGTCACTGCCCCCAGTAGAAATCTCTAGATTCCGCTTATTTGTTTTGTGTCTCTCCCCCTCCCTGGAATATGAACTCTTTGGGGACAGGGATTTCAGTCCTGTTGGTTTCTCATTTCTCCGGTGCCTGGCAAATAGCAGGTGCTCAGGAAGCATTTGAACCAGTGAACAGGCCAAAGAGCTTTGCAGAAGGAAGCATTTGGGCATCTTGGCTTTAGATCACTCTCCCTCTCTCCCTCTTTGGATCACTCTCCCTCTCTCCCTCCTCTTGCTCTCCTACACTGAGCAGTATTCACAGCTCCCTTCCTCCAACCTGCCCTCTCCCTCCAGCCCCAGGAGCAACAACATTCCCATACACGTTTTATAGTCTTCCTACAAATGCATGAATAAGTGAGATAGGGTTTTGTTTTGTTGTATCTATTCTTAAAAGTTGTGGTGAAATGCAACAAAAATTTCACCATCATGCAGTTCAGAGGCATGAAGTGCATCCATATTGGTGTGTGACTGCCACCACCATCTTGTAAAACTGAAACTGTTTCCTGACCCCCAGCTGCAGCAACCTTTCTATTTCCTGGCTCTGGTTTTGACCACTCAGGGTGCCTTCTGTAAGTGGAGTCTCTTTTTCATCTGGCTTCTTCCCCTCAGCCTGGTTCATCCATGTTATAATGTCAGGAGGCATCAGGAGGTCCTTATTTTTTAAGGATGAGTGCTATTCCGCTGTGTGGATGGGCCACATTTGTTTATCTGTTTAGCAGTCCATGGACAATGGGGATTGCTTGTACCTTTTGACTGTTGTAAGTAATGCCACTGTGACATTGGGGTGCAATATCTCCCTGAGACCCTGGTTTCAGTTTTTTTGGGTATAGACTACAAGTGGAATTGCTAGATTCTATGTTTAATTCATTTTGGTTTTGTAGTACCAAAAATTGAACCTAGGGTGCTCTACCACTGAGCTACATCCCCAATCCTTTTTATACTTTTTTTTTTGAGAGAGTGTCTCTCCCCAGTTTGCCCAGGCTGCCCTTGAACAATCCTCCAGCCTCAGCCTCCCAAGTAATTGGGATCATAGGGTGTGCCATGAGCTTTTTTAAAAATATTTAGTTTTTAGTTTTAGGTGGACACAATATCTTTATTTTATATTTATGTGGTGCCGAGGATTGAACCTAGTGCCTCATGCGTGCTCGGCGAGTGTTCTACCACTGAGCCCCAACCCCCAGCCCCTGTGTTGAACTTTTTGAGGAACTGGAACTGTTTTTCATAACAGCAACACTATTCACATTTCTGCCCACATGTGCGTGGATTTGATTCTGCATTCTTGCCTACACTCACCATTTTCTGTTCTTTTGTTAGCAGCCATCTTAATGGGTATGAGGTGAAATTTCGTGTGTTACTAAACATATTTTTAGTAACATACGAAATACTAGCGTCCTACTCTGTTTTATATATATATATCTTGTTTTAGGTACTCAGCATTAATTTTTACCTTCAACTGTGTTGACCCTGTAGATTTGCTTCATTCATGTTACTTTATTTTTTCTATGCATACCGTACTTGTATGCAGTTTTGGAGGAGCGGCACTCCCTGCACCCTGCTTCCCTTGCTTGGGTTCTCCGGACACTCTGAAGTCCTGACAGCTGCTTTTGTTGCTTCTGTCCACATCTCTAAATGCGAATGCTGCTGTCTCTCAGTTTCCCAGCTTGTAGCCCTAGCCACTGACCTGGCAGGAAAGCAGAACGGAGCTCTCAACATTCTTTGAAGGTTGCTTCTGACCTTAGATATTTACATATTCCAGAACTCGACCCTTTGCTCTGTGAAGATCTTCAGGACTTGGCAGGTTGACGGGAGGCTACCCCTAGGGTCGTGTTCATGGCGGTTGCACTTTGAGTGGGTTTCTGTCTCATTAAGGAAAGTGAGGCTTGGTTTTCCTGATGTGGTTGACAGGAGCGTGGAGAATCCTGCAAGCTCCAAGCAGTGCATCCAGCAACTGCAGGGTCCTGCTGTGCGCGGCACCCTGCCACAGACCGTGCAGGGTCGCGCCTTAGCCCTTGCCCCTGCCTTGGGCCATGCTTGTCTCTTCTCCCTTCCTGGAGTGGAGACAGGTCCAGAGAGGTAGTGCCACTGGGCCAACTCACAGGACGGGCCAGGAATACTGTGTACTAGGAGAGCGTCCCCTTCTTCCTGCAGCCACAGGGTTGCCACTGCCTTTTCCTTGGGCTGTGTGGAGGGTGATGGGATCTGAGGCCAGCAGCTCTCAGAATGTGCTCTTCTGTACTCAGGCCCTGCGTCACTTTCCGAAGGCGTTCAGTGTATGTGAGGCCTCATTCCCCATGGGGAAGCCAGGGTGGGTGTTTGCTGTTTGTTCTGGGCGTGGCAGGCTCCTTTTTGGGCCGCAGTCTTAAAGCAGTGCCCATGTGTCTAGCCTGGCCATGAAGAGTAAGGATTCCAGGGATACAGGTGAGGCTGCGGCAGGGCCGAGTGCCGACAGCAGCACTCTATGGTGCCTGCAGGCAGGAGCAGGCTAGAAGGGCTTAGGTAGGTGAGTGGAGACACAAGGATGGGCAAGGGGCCGTGTGTGGAGGAGGTGCCTCATTCTGCCTGTGTACTTTAGAAAACCCAGGGGGCCTTCCTGTGTTCTTCATCCCAGAAAAAGTCTTCACATTTCTGCAAGGATATATTTTAGCATCTCGATATCATTTTGATGGTGAAACAGCGGGAGTCAGTTTTAGAGCGAGCCCCTGCCCCATGCAGACAGTCTGAGCCCAGTCCAGGAGACTGGCCATGCTCCAATGTCGGGTGCTGTTTGTTTCTTTGTAGGTGTGGAACGCTGTGGACTCAGGGCGCTGCTTGCAGACCTACTCCCTGCACCGCGAGGCTGTGCGGGCTGCCCGGTGGTCTCCCTGTGGCGGGCGCATCCTCAGTGGCGGCTTCGACTTTGCCCTGCACCTCACAGACCTGGAAACAGGTGGGTTCCTCGGTATCATTACTCCAAGGCGAGCTGGCAGCTCTCTCACTGGGGAGGGTTCTCTGGAGGGTCCCTGGCCACGGGCTGTGTGGGGTGTTAGGGGAGTAGGAGGGGCTCCCAACTCTGCAGAAGGTTCAAGGCTGTCTCAGCCTCAAGCTGTGGGGCGGATATCGAGGCAGCTTTTTATCAACTCTGACATGCGGTTTATAGTGAAGCAGGATTAACTTGATGTTCTTTGGTTGGTTGTGGTGTTCTTTGGTTGGGGCCAGTGTATAGGACTCCTGTCAATCCATTACCATTGAAGGCTGTAAGAATGACTTCATCTCCCAAGGAAGGGTTTCAGGTAGGTTGTGCTTTAGTGCCCACACTAGAAGAGCATTGGCAAGATGGATTCGTGCTGGGTATGAGTGTGAATCTGAGCAGTCTTGGAGGAGGAGTCAGTGGAAGGAGCTTTCCTGTCCCTGGCTCTGTGTCCAGGCACTGTGATACCTGCTATGGCCCCAGTTCCCGAGGCTTCCTGCTGGGTGGTGGTAGGAACAGACCAGGGCTGACACAGCTGGTGGGCAGGCCAATGCTGCCCTTGTCCCGGGCCTAGCTTCTTTCCACACCCATGTGGCCATCTACTCTTAGGCTCCTCCTTCCTCGGTCACTTTTCTGCTAGGTACCACAGCCAGGGTCAAGAGGAGGGACTAGAGTCCCTGGAGCCCTGAGAACAGCATCCTGCCTGCCTGGTGTGGCTGCCCCAGGGCTGGTGGCCTTACCCTGGGGTCCAGCCCAGCAGGTCTGAGAGGATGCAGAGAGGAAACACACAGGAGGCCGAGGTCACTGTGGACTTGGAACCCACCTCACCTGTCCTCCTCTTTTGGGCCACCCAGGCGGGCCCCATGCACTCTCGGGGGTGGGATGATGAGACTGCCAGTCAGGGGCCCTGCTTGGTCAAGGGGTGTATCTCCAGCTCTGTGGGAGGCCTGCGGAATTCCCCCTGCAGCAGCTGGCAGTAGTTATTTCCATTTCATAGGTGAGGAGACCGAGGCCCAGAGCGCGAGGTGGCCTGTGCAAGGCCTCTCAGTGGTGAGGGACTGGCAGGGTTGGAGCTGAGTCTGTACTGTAGACTGGTACCCTTCCCTTAGTGCCCAGTGGACAGAGCCTCTCCCTCATGGGGAAGCTCTCTGACAGTTTGTGTCTCTCTTCTTCTCAAGCCCACGGGTGCCAAGGCTTGGGGAGTTTGCTGCCACTTGATAGTGATGATTGGGCTGATGATGATGCAGCAGTCTGTTCTGACCAGGTACCCGCTGTGTGCCAGGTGTCTCTCCACAGCCATCCACATCAGTGTCCTGTGGGCCCTGTCACCCTTAGAGGCAGGGACCATCAGAGTTGTGAAAAGGCGGCCTTTTCACATGCTGGTCTGGGGCCACGAGCTAGGCAGTGGCACAACCAGGATGTACCCAGGTCTGCCAGGCCACCAAGCCAGCTGTCTGCCTGCTTCCCTGGTGCCCATGTGCCCCATCGCCATGCTGTGTGTGCGACAGAGCTGAACACAGCCCAGGGCTCACCTGGAGAAGGCCACATCTGTTGGGGACAGAAGTGCTGGGACCACCGTCTGCAGTGATGGAGTGAGATACAGGGATTGCAGGAGCACGGAGTTTAGAAAACCCAGGGGTCCTTCCTGGAGGAAGCACAGCCCACACTGAGCCAGGAGTTAAGTGAGACATCACGGTGGAGGAAGTGTGTTCCAGGGGAGGGAAGTGGGCTCTCAGCAGGTAAGGCCACAAGGACACAGGATGCTACATTGTGTGTGAGGGAATGGGAGAGAGGATCTGGGGAGTGCAGGAGGGTACCCCTGGCCTATGGATCCCATGAGCACATATGGGTGGGTGCTGCACTGCCCATAGAGGGACAGGTTAGCTCACCTAACTCTGGGCCATCGTTTCTCAGATGTGGGTGATGCTGTTGAAATACTCAACTCAGATTCACTTGATGACATTAGCAGATTCGTTGTGGCCCTGGGTTATTACCTGTTTTCTCAATCAACAGATGTTAAGCGGACACATATGCCTGTGTGTGTGTGTGTGTGTGTGTGTGTGTGTGTGTTTGTGTGTGTCTGTGTATTGGGGGATGTCTTGAATGTTTTAGACAACCAGAGGCCCTCTTGCCTGACAAGGTAGGGACTACTGTAGGGCCACTGCTGAGTTTTGGGCAGGAGAGAGCTGGGTTTGATTTGTGCTTTGGGTGGGTATCCCTGGTCGCTGCAGCTTGTCTTGTGTGTTCTACAGGCCTGCTGGAGGAGAGGGGTAGTTTGTCTGGCCCAGGCCCGGCACATTCCTTCAGCTCTCTGGTGCTGAATGGATAGAGAGGAAGGCGGGGCCCTGTTCTGGGGGCCTTGCCACCCAGCCAGTGAGGCGATGTGGGCCCCCCACCCACACCTCTTCTGGGAATGTGTTCACTGCCAGGCTTGTCTTCTGAAGGCCTTGCTGGTTCACTCAGCATCTACTCCCCATGTATCTGCTGTGTGCAGGAACGTGCTGGGCTGCAGCACAGGGCTTGCTGGACACCCTTTGTCTCCAGCGAGGGCATGATGGCAGAGCTTGCACCCCAGCCTGTAGAGGCCCTCCAGCTCCCAACAGGCTATGGTTTCTGTGCACCTCCTGGCTCCCGTGGGAGCTCATTGAGACGGGCCCATCCTGGTGTTCCCTCTGGCTTCATCGACTTGCCCTGTGTGTGGGGATGAGCTGGAACTAAGTGGGTCCATGCTGGGCCCTCCTGGCTAGGCAGTGAAGCCCATCACAGGCTGTCTGGGTGGGGTAGACTCCCCATGTCTTCTGCCTCCTCTCAGGACACCCACCCTCTGCCTTGGTGTCCCTGAGTGCTCTCTTCAGCCTTGGCTGGATTGGGCTGGACTTGCGGCCCTTGTGGCCTCTGTCCTGTTTTGGCTTCTTGTCCTTTATCTCTACCAAGTCTGCTCTCCTGTTTTGCTTTATCCCCTTTCCACCCTTGGTGATTTGCCTTTTTCATTTCAGTCTCATTAGCGCTCCTGCCAAGAGAAGGCAGCGCGGGGCGTCTCGGTGCAGCGCTTTGGGAATTAGTCACTCGGTGCCCATTGTCGTTAATGGGAATTTGGTGCCAAGGCCATTTATCCTGGTGTCCTCAATCAATACAGCTAAAAATCTGTGGATTCTAAAATGTCAATACCCAGCCTGAAATATGGAGGGCCAGCCACATTTTATCTCATTAATTTATAGTTCTGACGGGCTGTTGGCTTACAGAACAACCATGAATCAACACTTAATAAAATCTGCTCACAGATTAATTATTTTTGGTGTTCCTGCTTCCGTCTGTAATCTTCCTAACAAATGTCTCCAGTGCATTAGCCTGAGGTGGCCTCAGGGGACACTAGCTGACGCCACCTGAGTGTCCTCAGCCTTGTGAGTCACCTGTCCTGCATGTAAAATCAGCCTGTCTCTTCCACACCCGCCATGGCTCCTCTAGTGCTTAGCGGTCCTGGTGGTGTTTCTCGAAAGTTCTAGCCCCCATCAGTCTCCCAGCCTGATGGTGAAGCCACTGTTGTTGAGGGGCGCAGGTCTCCATGTTGCACGCTTGTTGGCCACTCAGGAGCTCTCTTTGTCTGTGTTGGACGCTCTCCTGAGGTGCACCCAGTTCCTGGATGCCGTAGAAGGAATGTGGGTGGGATGCACCTTCAGCCCCGCACCCCCCACCCTGAGCCGGGAAGGCGGGGAGTGTGCCTTTGCCTTTTTCTGCAAGAGCCTGGCTGGCAGACTGTTGGGGAAGGGTGCAGTGTGTACAGAGGGCCCCTCATGGGTTAGGGTCGGCCCTCAGCAGAGGTGCCTCTTCCCTCTGTCACTGCTCCGTGAAGACCTCGGTTCTGGGCTGGGGTTGTGGCTCAGCGGGAGAGCGCTTGCCCAGCACGTGCAAGATCCTGGGTTCGATCCTCATCACCACATAAAAATAAATTAAGTAATTAAAGATATTGTATCCAACTACAACTAAAAAATAAATATTTTACAAAAATCTCATTTAAAAAAAAAGGACCCCAGTTCTGTGGAGTTGTCCACGGTGTCCCAGTTGTTGGGGTAGTTCCCCAAATGGGGCCACTTTAGGGTGTCAATTTCAGAATCCCCCAGCTGGCAGTCAGGGTGGGTTTCAGGGCAGACTTCCCCAACAGTCTGCCAGCCAGGCTCTTGCAGAAAAAGGCAAAGGCACACTCCCCGCCTTCCCGGCTCAGGGTGGGGGGTGCGGGGCTGAAGGTGCATCCCACCCACATTCCTTCTACGGCATCCAGGAACTGGGTGCACCTCAGGAGAGCGTCCAACACAGACAAAGAGAGCTCCTGAGTGGCCAACAAGCGTGCAACAAGAGGAGGCCTTGGCCCATCTCTCTGATCCTCCTCCAGGTTTCCCTCTCCACAGTGGTGGTGGGGGCGCAGCTCTCCCTGGTGATGGCGGCATGCACCCTTTCTCTGGGATCTGGGGTGGGCGTGCAGGAGCCTGCAGCCTGCCCTCTCCAGAGCTCCAGGTGTTAGTGGTAGGGAAGGTCTGCCCTTCTCACTGGGATACCCACTGCCTGCAGTCCCCCTGTCCCCAGCCCCTGTCCAGCTCCTCTTGCTCTGGATGTCCCTTGTTTTTTGTTGGGGGCCATGGTGTGTGTGAAAATGAGTGGTCAGCTCGTGACCACTCCCTTGTTTTTTTTAAGAAGCATCTTCTGGTACTAGCCTTGCTTTTGCATCATTTTGGGACTTCCTTCCAGCTAGGGACACTGTAAGGATAGAGAGTAGCCCGTGGTCCAACTCCTTCTTGGGCTTGGTGGTGTGGGTCTGTTCACACTCTGCCTGGCCTCCATCAAACTGAGAGGCGTGTGTGGGAGCAGCACCTGTGCTTATGTGTCACGCTTGGTCACTCTCTAGCTGCGAGGGCAGTGTTTTTATGTCCATTTCATTCATGGAGGGTTAGAGAGTTTAGTGACTTTTAAGTCCACATGGCCAGTGG